GAAAATGAAAAATTATGGTATGGTCACGCACATGTTTGAATACAAGTACATAGTCTCTCACCACAAGCGGGAGTTCGCCCTTGGCAGCTTGATGTTGGCTTTCCTACGGTGTGTGCCAACATGTCAGGCAATTTCTCGGTATGCGTGTGTCATCCTTGTGCAGGAGGCGTGCTAATATCCTTTTTTGTATTGTTCCAGTTTGAACGGATGTCGCGAAGGACAACACTGACCCCACCAGTTGCTTTGCTAGCAATTTTGTTTTGATGCACCGGTATGCGTGCTGGAAAAAGGCTGATGCCGCCAGGCAAATCACGTGCCATGCGAGTTTGGCAGGGTCAGCACGCGGCGAAAATCTGTGTTGGGAAAAGGAGCTTGGAGAGACTGGTGGTCGAAGATGCATATAAAACTGGAATTGTGTCTGTGAGGACGGTTGACCCATGCCTGGAAGGGGATTTGATTTGATCGACTTCAGCCTTAAGCTGCTTCTGTCACCCTCACTACCTTCTTCCCCTAAATGCAACACTCGGTTATTATGCCTGTATTTGGCTTAAACGTTGCACTCAATCCAGCTGTAATTGCCAGTTGTTGTGTGCGGGGGATCAGGTTGTGTCTGAGCGACTGCCAAGTGGTGTCTCTTGCACGAGAGAGGGTGGCTGAAGCGAAAGCAATTGCACCCCACAGTTTGAGGTTGCCTTCCCCTTCACCCCTCCCTCTCCGCCCCCCCGGCTTTTCTCCCCCTCCCCCTCTCCCCCCTCCCTCCTCTCCGTGGTTCCTTTCTCACCAGGGATAAAGATAAAATAAAATGCAGTAAGGGGAAAAAAAAAAAAGGTAGTTTCCTTCATCCTAGCTGTCGGGCATATTGCACGTCGCTGGTAATGTCAATGTGATTGGACCGCATCTTGACCGATTCCCCGTTGCCTGCAGCTGAAGCGTATGCGCGGAATGCACTTTTCAATTTTCGCAGGCGAAGCGATGTGGGTGCCCAACTCCACGCATCCCTGTTGAGCCTTCAGTGTCATCTGACAGAAGCTCCCGATGGGGCCGGAAGTCTGTGCAAGAGTAAAATTAGGATTAACTTCAAGTAAGCCTTTAAAGTTTAAACCACCACTATTTACCAAACCAGAATCATGCTGCGCTCGGGGGAAAAAAAACAAACTGGCGTGAGCGGGACTCCTTTCCCTTTTGGCTGGTGGTCCCACCCATTTTGGTCCTGCAGCCCTGAGCCCCCATAAGTTGCAGATATACGCAAACTCACTCATTTGTTTTGCCTGGGGCGCGTGGCGGTTGTTTAATAAGGACCTCTCTGGGCCACTAATGATGGATGGATGTATCTTGCCCCCATGTGTGTGAAGAAGATCCACTCATCATTTTTCACATTTGGTGATCAGAGCAGTGAAGCCCTTAGGCTCTGTGAATAGCAAGCACAACCACAGCATATGCTGTGACACGCGGTAACCACTGGTTCTATAATGCAAAACGATTGTTTTGCGAGCTCTTCAGGGGGTGCAGCAGACCGAAAAGTAATGCAAAACAATTGTTTTGCGAGCTGTTCGGCCGGCGCAGCAGACCGAAAAGGACCTGTAGGCGCAGAAAGGTCCAGGCCGGCAGAGCGTACACGCTTAACGCTGCGAGTGCGTTGACATAAGGAGTACCATTCAGCGTCTGAGAGAGAGCAGATTGAGGGATAGCTCATTCCGGAAACTTTTGTGGCAGTCACCTTTTCCATTTCTCGCTGGCGGTGTGTGTGACAGGCTCATCGCTTTTTGTGGGCATTCCACGGTATGATCCTTTGCAGCTCACACATGTTATAAGGCATAATGGCAAGCTAAACAGCCCAAGGGCGGTTTCAAAGGATTTGATTCGGTGATGAATTCATCCCGGGATGTGGATCACTTCTTCCTTGTGAAGAACCCTCAAATTTGGGCTGTGCGGAGGGAATGATGAGGTGATACAGGGAAGTGCATTTCCTTGGTAAACAGGAAAGGGATGGGGAACCAGGAGGCAAAGAGGAGGAAACCTGAAGTTGGTCACAACTCGCCAGTTTGGGGTTATGTAATTGTGGTGTCGGATGGATCGAGGTAGGGCAGGTGCTGGCTTTTTTTAGGGTTGGTTCTAAACGAATTATCTGCAATGGTGTACTTGACACACACACACACACACAAAAAAAAAGAAAAAAAAAAAAAAAAGAAAAGAAAAGAAAAGAAAAGAAAAGAAAAGAAAAGAAAATAAAAACAGAATGGCGTGATGGTTGAATGTGTTTATTGTCTATGACAAACCTCCGTTTTCTTTTTTCTTTTTTTCCCCTTGTCTTTAAAGGGGTTGTGAGTGGCAGGATCAGGCTTTCTGTGGCACAGGCAGCCTGGCTGTGACTGGTCATCGTAATTCCCTAAGACGCTTCCCTATGCACGCACGACTCCTCGGGGACTTTGATGCAATTGTTTTGGTACCCACTTGTGAGCCTTAGACCCCTCCTCAAGTATTTGCTTCAAGAAAATGTATGTTTCAAGAAAAAGGAGGTTTGTAATAGGGAAAACAAAGAAAAAGGTATGTATAGAAAAATTGATGCAAGGAAGAACAATGCATCCTTGTTCAGGAAAGAGATTGGTAGAGGCGATAAGGGATGTTACCTAGTTTGAAGCACTATGGCTATCGATGAATGGTGGTGCTTCGTTTTCTGGCTGTTGGATGGTAGTTCGAAAAGCCATGGCCATTGGCCAGTGATGAATGGTTGGTTTTTCTTCTTCTTTCCGCCATAAAAAATCTGAAAAGTGAGTGCCTGTTGCATGCAAGGTGCTGACGATATGTGACAGCAGTGCTGAGGACATCTGACAGCATTGCTAAAATCTGCCGGCACTACTCGCCGACAACTTTTTGAGTTTTCGTCAACTGATCAGTTGAGAAATGAGAGTCATAGATGGGAATGCAGCTGAATGATATATACTGTTTGCCTCATTGCCGAGGTGTGATGCAATCCCTCTCTGTTGCTCATGTATTTACAACTTGCAGATGTGAGGAATCATCCAATACTGATTCACTGCAACAAAGGCAAGGTCAGTAAGTAATCCAACTCTCTCTCTCTCTCTCTCTCTCTCTCTCTCTCTCTCTCTCTCTCTCTCTCTCTCTCTCTCTCTCTC